GATTGTGTTAGTTCGTGAAATCACAGTAGCGCGTCAAAACGAGCGCGTATTGGTTGTCAAGCAATTTTGTATTCTTTACCACACAAAAAGTCCTTAACGACAACAGCGCGTATTTTGACGCGCTTTTTTGATTAATTGCTTGTTAAGCCTAAAGATGTGAAAATATCATACTAAAACATGCATACCCGCATCCCATTAATAGGCCGTCCCTCATAAGAGGTTGTCATATAAAAATGTTCAACGTTTTCGGCGTTCTGACTTGCAAAGTCGGACACCCATTGCTGGATCTGTTGGAAAATAAGAAAACCACAAGACACTACGACTTACAGCTTTGGAGAGTTATTCACAAGTAGAAAATAGTAGATACGTTTTAACATGATGCGTTCATTTTTATCGTAGTAGGTCCAATTCAAATATGCTTACATTATTGATGATATAATAATTATACAGATTATCAATTTTATTTAAACAATATTTTAAAATGTTTTATTCAATATTTAATATTTTTTTCAATATTTAATATTTCAATATTTAATAATTCAATATTTAATATTTTTCGAGTAATATTTAAAATAATTGTAAGTTTACACTATAGCTTAATTATGAACAATTATTTGTTTCCTCTTAGGCTTACCTCGTCATACGTATGGTAAATAGTATAATCAAAGACACCTGAAGCAACCGCCGGTCTCGGACCTTTGGGCATCGTCATTTCAATTAACTCTTGTACGTCCTCTATTACAATGCTAAATTCTAGGCCACGGTTTCTGAGAAGATGCGGGAAGTCACCAGTAAATGATGGTGAGATCATGAGGTCCACGGTCTGGTGGCCATGATTGGCAGACCAGCTGTCAATCTAAAACAGAAAATATTTATAATTTCAAAATAACAAATACCGACAAAATTGAAGTCCAAGAAGGAATAATAATGAATTAAAAATAAAACTGCACGAAGTCTAAGAAAGAACTTGTAATCGAAACGTCAAATTTCCATTATTGTTACGCTGCGTTTACGTGTGGCCCAGCAGTTTTAAAACAAACATTCACTCGGACCTTTCGAACTATTTTTTGCTCAACCCTGCTCATAGGGGATTGATATGCCCTAAAGATAAGCAACACACACGTCCTTACCAAATCTCCAAAATGTGATGATACTTCGTCGATCCATTTTACGTCATATTCGTTGTTGCATTTTATTCGCCATACTTGGAAACTATGCAAAAGAAAGCAACAAAGTGAAAATATTTGTCTCTCCTGTTGCAGCAATTCTGTACCATGAAGAAAATATTTAAAAAAAAAAAAAAAAAAAAAAAAAAAAATCAAGACAATGACTTGTGACTATTCTTTCAACTTTGTTTTCAGAATAATTGTTCGCCATTTCGTAGGCCAAACATAAAGGTATTTCGGATTCAGTTTTCCTTTACATTTTGATCCATTTTATGTCATATTCGTTGTTGCATTTTATTCGCCATTTGGAAACTATTCAAAAGAAAGCAACAAAGGGAGACTATTTTTCTCTCTTGTTTGCAGCAATTCTGTACCATGAAGAAATTAACTCAGACAATGACGTGTGACTAATCTTTCAACTTTGTTTTGAGAATAATTGTTCGCCATTTCGTAGGCCAAACATAACGGTATTTCGGATTCAGTTTTCCTTTACATTTTATTCCATTTTGTCTCCGAATTTGTTCAAACATGATGTAACATGACTACAATATACAGTATATATTTTATGACGGAATGGTTATTAAGCTCTGTATGAGCTACTTATAATAGAATAATTAATTTTAGTATAGGCCTACCAATTTATAGGCCAAATTCTGGCAGCAGAAATACTTACTCGTCGTATCTTCTATAGGAGGAGGCAAAAACAGAAGAAATTACAACACAAAATATCATGAAATATTTCCACATGTTTACCGTTTAACTTAGTTATCCAAAAATGACAAGATAGAGCCTTAGAGATGGCTCTCCCTTACTGCTTCACTGCTTATGTTTTATGGTATACCAGTTATAAACAATTATAGCATAACTTTATTGTATATCTGTGTGGTACCTTATGGTATAATTAAAATGTTATCAGGGATAGATGTGAGAGAATATTAATAAACCCAGCTGTATCAACAAGAAATATAATCTGTTGGCTTTCAAGTCGAACTATGAAGAAGGAACAAGTTATCTTTTATAAGTTGAACAGAAGGTATTTAATATCAATATAAACACCGTATTTCAATGCGTATCTGGAAACTTATAATACAAACATACATTTAAGAGATGTTCTGGAAAACTGAGAAATTTAGTTGTACTATTCCGATATATTTTTTATCGTGATTTTACAAACCATTTTTAAACGGACATGGAAATATTGGCTATTGCAGTGGCGAATTCAACGGGGCCGAGCCCACCAGCCCCCACCACTCATTTTTTTTTTATTCTAAAAAAAAAAAAAAAAATAAGAGAAAAGGAAATTGTAAATTAATTTAGGTGCGAGAGTGCCATTTCCGTCCATGAGTGATCCCAAAATCATAAATGTTAAATGTCCTTGTTATCAGGCCCAACCATGCTGGGGGCTGAGGTGGCGTAGATCCTGCGCCTGTGAAAGTCCCTTCTTCGGGCCCCACTCAGTTTTGAATTCCTGCATACACCACTGTATTGTATATCTAGTATCAGTGTATTTTCTGTACATTACTGATGATGCATCTTTTAATCCATTAAAATATATTTATACTCTTTGATGAAACACAGCTTCGTGAATACGTATGTGCATCCATCATCCACAAAAGATAATATTCTATTCAAGTGGAGAATTAACAGACAAATAGCGAACCGGATTGGAGGAATATATCGGGCATTTGTTAAAAGAAAAACTGAGGTGACGACTTAAAAAAAAAAGAAGAGAACAGAATATGATAGGATTTGAACCGAGCAAGTGTTTAATTTCCATTTTTGTACACAACATTTTAATGTAAAAAGAAATATAAAACATAAAGTTGATTGTTTTATGTACACTGTTCACATAATCCATATACTTTCAACAAAATATTCTGAAAATTAAATTCACTTTGAAAACTAAAAACTTTGACACAATTAATTCCTATTGTTGTGCCATTGATCAAATACCATTGAGCTGGAGAAAAATAAAGTCTTTACTAATAAGAATGAATACACAATGATTGCTTATATATTACATGGTCTTCCATGATGTTAATGGTAACAGTGGTGGGTCCAGGAAGACCCCCCTTTCCCAAAAAAAAAGTGAGAAAAAATTAAGGACAAGCTAATTCTCGATTTAAATTCCATGTACCAGTGGTTATGGTCAAGCATTTTTAAACACCACACTCTATCATTCTGTGAACACCTGTTGGTAGATAGGCCTATCATTTTGTATACACTTAGTGATAGTGAAAAAGACCTATATAAACAATGATTCGTTCTGGAACAAATTCAAAATACAAATTTCACTGTATCAGTATGTAATGTAGTGTGGTCAAGAATTGAAAAAAAAAGTCAATCAATTTGTACATTGTAAAATACGGCCATAATAACACGGTCAAACAATGTGTGTAAAATTTGTTTAGTTTTTGAACACCAAAATGACATGTGATATGACACATTGGGACTATGAACTTTGCCTTACAGAAAAGTGGCATTAACCTTTGACAGGTCATGCATGTTAATTACCTTTGACAAGGTCATGCATGTTAATGACCTTTGAAATACATGATATGAATTTTTATAATTTATAAATAAAAATTATTTTTAATGAACCTGTTAGACTGATTATATACATAATGCTCAGGATATCAATAGTAAAAAAAAGGCATTACCAAATTTATACAAAAAAATTATTACGTCATCATAATTCTGTTCACATATCCAAATACAAATTTGACAACTTTTATGAACTTGAAAACATTCTTAAACAATGTAATATTTATAATCATTTTTTACTGAAATTTCAAATTTATTCTAGTTCAGGTCCAGATACTTGTCCAAAAATATTACATCTGAATAACTTTGTAAAACTTACAAAAGGGTGTTCCCAAAAAGACGGTTGTCAATATTAAAGAATTACTGCACAGTACAGGTCACGATTTAATGAATGTTAAACATATGAGGGCAGCAAACACCAACATTTGATGTTTGAACTTGAGCAGGCAGCAGCAAACAACCTGTACATTTAGGTACATTTCGCAACCTTACAAAAACGATAACGAATATGAATTGAATAAGTCATTTTTATTACCATCATTTGTGTCTAAAACATTATTGACAGTACATATACGAGCTGAACATGATCGTTGATAAATGTAGTAACACATGGATAGCCTACGTTGTGAGATAACATCATGCTCCTGCAGGGGATGGCTTTACTAAAAACTTGATGACGTATCCGTATTCGTTATAATTTTCGTAAGCTTGCGAAATCTCCCTATTGTCCGACTTTACGGCTATTAAATTCCCATTTGACGAAAGAACGACGTCAACAATTATGAAATAAATCACCAACATATTTTAATAATTGTTATCGTATTGAATGGTATAGGCCTAGTGATTATTCCCTTCTTCTACCAGGGAAGGGAAACATTATTTAAGATCTTTTTCTGGAAGACCGAAACCATTGAATATTACAAGGCTGTGCAAAATATCTTATACATTCACCCTCACAATACTTAACTTCAACGTAATACATCCCATTAGAAGATTTTATATAAAGGAGCACATATCAAAATTATTGTCACCAATACCGGTACTAAATATTTTCTGTCTGTTTGTACTAAAAAGTCTCAGACAAAACTTTTAAAAAGACAACAACATTGATTCCAGGATACAAGATTAAATTAAATACAGTACTTCAATTAAAGGCCAAATAAAAGTCACACCACTTTAAGATTCGATCAAGTATGCTATGAGGTAACAGAAAAAGGACAATATTAAATTCAGCGTTAAAAAACCAACACATTAATAATATACACTTATAAAATCTGAAAACTTTAAAAAAATAACAATGTTTTACAATAATGCATTCAACAACAGTACAACAGTATTTGCATTTAATAATTTAATACCTAAAATCACTTTAATGATATTGTTTTCTTTTTTTACCAAGGCGAATCAAAATTTTATTCATGTTTTCTTAAAAAAAAAATCACATGTATCAGAAAATAGCTGACACATGGATATAAATTCATCTACTTTTCAATTTAATCTTGAAAAACCAAAGAGTACAGATTTGACTTGATTTGAAGTCTGACTGCCCTGATTTTGTATGCATACAATGAAACAGTACAAAAGCAAGAATAGTTTTTTGTTTTTCTGAGCATGTGCAGATTGTTCTTATCGGGCTCATTAGCATAACAATACCGCACATAAGGCTAATTCAAGTTAGATGGCTTAAACCAGCCAGCTTCCTATCCTGGTGGTAGTCCTTAATAAAAGTACTACCACCTTTACATTCTTTTAAAGGACGCCCTCTATTTAGTGGTAGTACTTTAAGAATTCCAACATAAACCCTGGGAGTCAGGCCTCTTGGAGTTCTACTTTTTAGAAAAACCCACTGCAATTTATATTGAAGGATCTTGCAGAAACATGCATAGACCAATCCTAAATCATTTGAGGTTTTTGGCAAATTATTAAATCCCATTGGACTCTTAAAATTAATTGTACAATAAAAAAAAATCTATAAATCTCTCAGCTTTGTACTGTTATGCATTGTGCTACTTTCTCTTATTGCATGTGTTTCTCAATTAAAGCATTCCTTAAATATCTTCTCTCATATGCACATAACTTATTTACACTAACTTGGTCTGCCAAGGTTTTAACTTCTCAATAAAATCAAACTTAGTCAAATTCTTTAGGAAACCAAGTGAATTTAAGGGAAAATTTCACAATCAATGTATCCTTTCTTTCTAATTCTTTGTAATTAAATGTCTAGTTTGTCTCTGAAAGACTGGACTACATGCACATATTTCACCGCCTTCAAGTATATACTGACCATAGATTTAAGCTCTGTCCAAACCATATATATTCATGATATGCCTACAGCAATATGGTCATGATGTGATGTCATCAAGATCATATTAAGGCATGTTGCATATAGTGTGAACAGGGTTTAACATTAATACTAAACAAATCAAATAGTAACACAATACAGCTTCTTCTAAAGCCCTGTCCAGACTATCAAATTTTATTTGACAAAAACATGTGACATTCCTAAATATGGTAATGATGACATCACATCATTACCATATATAGGAACATCATGACTATATACGGGCATACAACGTTGTCAAAGAAAATTTGATATATGGACAAAGTTTTGTATAAAACATTTGCTGTCAAATTTTAATACAAACACTACATGTTCTAATTATTTTCATTCATGACAAATGAGTAAAGTACTGAAAAGTAACACACATACACAATAACACATAAAAAAAAACACTGCTATGTGTATGAATATAATATATAAACACACATAAAACCCATCCCTATGCAGTTATGTACAGGAAAGGGATAGGTGTATGTAATGGTTTAAATTTGTGATGTGGCAAGGTCTTTTGATTTAAGGTGTTAATATCAATGTCCAATTTAGAGCTCATGCAAATATAGACATTGCTTATATTTTCAAGCAATTCTTGCTATTTAATTTAATATAATTAATAACTGATGTTATGGTGCAAACATTGCTAATATTAGCAGGTAGAGACAAACGAATGTATGGATGGGAGAGGCAAGATACTGCAAATAAATCCAAAATAATAATATTTTGAATTAGTTATTTTGAGTTTTAAAAAATATCCCGTCTTTATATCTCATTATCATACAGATTCATTTACATATAATTGTAATTAATTGTATTATACTTGATTTCAAGCAATATTTATCTGTACCACTGAAAATGTGAACATCTATATATATTTATCCCGTGATTTGCTGTGAAATTTGTTAAGGCTTTCTGCCTGACCTTTGACATCAAGATCTAATCTCAATAACCACTCCCTTATTTAAAACTAGAAAATACATTTAATCCCAGCATGATACTTCACCATCATTAATTTTAGTATACTCTGTAAGTCAACCCCATAATCCTTAATCTGAATCAAATATTATCCAAAATTGCAATAAATAATGTCACCTTGCAGTGCGGCCATCATGATTATGATCAAGTAAGGTGACAATTTACAGAAGAGATAACATAGTATAAAGAATAAAAAAAACCCCTTTTTTGACTTGTACCCCATCTGTGATATATTTTTCATTTGGTGTAAAAACAAGAATTGTATAATATATGTATTATATAAAAACCTGATTCACTAAAACAAATTTGGCTTCTACTTCAATATGCTAGTAAAGTATACGAGATGTCATCACAAAACCAGCCTTAAACAATATGCCCAATCTTTTTCAAGGTATTAAAGTCAACTCAGAATGTTGGCAAATTTTTTTGGGTATAAGTATTAAACTATCAACCCTGAAAACCCTCTTTTGTTAAAACATGATATCATCATACATATCTTCTGACCTGGAGTACGACTCATTTTGTAATGACACCTCACATATAGTTAAACAAATCTCGCTAATAATATCAAAAAGCACTATTGCATTCTACACGGTATGCACCAAAGACTAAGTTCATACAAATTTGGTTAAGTTCCTATCATGTTTGTCAAATCCTATGAAACTACTACAGCAATAATAATTTTCTCAAGTTAATGCTAAATTCATATGAGCACTGGATTGTTTACATGTGCAAGTATGCTAAGATAAAGCACAATATATAAAGACGACGATAATGATACCTAAAAAAATTCAAATATATCATTAGACTGCTCCAGCATTTAAAAAGACAAACTGAGTTACCACCTTCCAATGATGCAGAGATTCAACCAAATTAGTTTTCAATGATTTGAAGAGTAGCGATTTTAGTACAAAAATCCCTAAAAAATGATCACAAGGCAGTTCTTTAAGAATCAGTACAAATAAATGGCTTATCTAGGGGGTTGAGCGGAAAGGCGCACAACACCCTAATATATACTCGCCTCCCAGTTGCCATCTCAAAATCACGCTCAAGAAGTTAAAATTCATCTTAATTTGTGTGCTAGTATCCGTTACCTAATTATTGAGCAGAGCTCAACACTTCACCTTTAGGCCCCCACCCCCATCAAGCACCCCTAGATATGCAACTGGTACAAACGTATAGGAACAGAAAATTTGTCTGTTTTAACTGCTGTGAAAATGTTGTCATTTCGCAATGAATGAAGTAAGAAATCAAATACTGAATTATATATCGGTTCTATGATTATATTCCAGCTTACTACATTGACACAGTTTATCTCTAATAATAGATAATATCTGATTAAATCTTTATTACAGTTATTTATCTGATAATAAGCAGCATATCTTGCAACAAATAACAAAACAATTCCACATAAAAAAAAAAATTACTATTGTTATTTCTATTGCAGTAGATTTGAGCTGCGTAAGTGGTTTAACAATGGGCGTGTGTCTAAAGCCGGCAATCACTGTGTCGCACAAAGGTCGTACAGCCATCGCACGATGAATCAAACTCAAACGAATCGTCTGTGTGCGCGTCGTCACGTTCTTCATAGAATCGTGTTGGCCGATGACCGTCGGGAACAGTGAGGGCCCGGCTTAAGAAATAAGAAGATGCCTTTTTCGCAAATCATCGACACACGACATGATTGAACTAGTTGACGAACAGATTCAAGGGTCTAATAACTTTATCTTAAATTTTAATAATTTCTTTCTATTCTATTCTATTCTTTACAGAATATTTTAGATAGTTGAAAAGAAATCCATACTTTGAAATATCAATGAATACAGATTCCATTAAAAAGAAATTAATTAGCAAATCTTGATTAAATCTGATGAATCACCATTAATAATAACTATCTACAATATATAATACATAGAAATTTCTTGCATATTATTAAATAAATTTTCTTATCAAATATTCTATAGCAAACTTACCTTTATCAACACACATAATGATAATACAAATATGACACACAGAATAGCCTTTGCAACGTTAAAATAAACATTCATCATCGTGGGAAACGTTAAATAATTAGCGTTACCTCACGTCGATGGTGACGGATAGTGAGAGCGCAACAACTCAATCTGATGGTAGATCTTGAGAGAGGGCGCCACTTTCATTCCCGTCAGTTTCGCTATCTGATCTTTGGTTAATGACATAAATTTGAGGCCATCGATTTTCTGAGAAAAAATACATAACAAAAAGTATAATACTCTGTTTATGTTTAATTATGTTTAATTTAAATTTTATTACACAAGTACCCAAATTAGCGTTTAGGTTGTCCACCGAAAAATCATGATAAAATAAAAATCATTATAACCACAATTTTTAAACAAAAAATATTATTTATTAAATACTAAGAATATCAATATTAGGCAGTATATGAAATCATTGGAAAATAAGCTGAATTTTCAAGGTTTTATGGGCATGCAGAAATGACTTATGTTAGTTCTGCGCATAATTACACATGCGCACTTCATAGAAGGGGAAGAGCCAAATTGGCAAATTGAGGGGTGTAATGTATACATTGTGATTTTAAATACTTTACATTACAACAGAGAGAAAAACTAACCTGTCTACGAAAGGTATCAGCGCAGGAACCTTCACCAGCGTCAATGAGGAACTGAACAACTGCTGGCACACTCCACTTCCAGGGATCAAAGTTGGGGCTTCTTACAGACTTGTCTCTAACTTCTTCCCTTCTCTCCAGCTGCTGTGGCTGAGCATGTAACGGTGTGCTAGGCCCACCTGCTGTCGAGTTATGAGCTAGTCTTGCATACTGAACAGGATAGTTGGAAGGTGAAAAACTCCCTGAGGACCCCTTCATGTTGGTAGTCATGAGCCTGGGAACTGGCATCATTTGTACATTCTCTGAAGGTACATTCATGAGACTGTGTCCAATCGGTACACTGCTGTGGAACGAGTGCTGAGGGCTGGCATTTGGAGAAGTTACGAGATTCTTAAGGGACTGTAGCTTCTGCTGTTCTATCATCTGTAGATGTTTTTGCGTCATGTTGATGGTTTTCATCGCAAAAGGTTTACCATCCTGACTGGCCGGTATCGGCACTAGCATGTAGGGGCTACTCGGGTGTGGCTGGGCTGGGAAGCTGATTGGAGCGTTGGAATACTGTGTTGGACTCAGTGAAACATGAAGACTAGGGGTAGATGTAGGGCTAGGTGCTGGGGTCATTGGATCCCCAACAGCTTTGCAACTTGAAGACATAGTTTTGGAAACAGGGGATGTAGCCCACACAGCCATAGGCTCAGAAGAACCTCTCCAATGCTGGGTAAGACTGGCAAAGGGTGGCAACTCAGGCCGTAAACTGTTCTGGACTGGTGATGGAAGCGGAGGTGTCATTGGAACACTTTGCTGCTGTCTCTTCTCTTGATCAGCTATGATGCCGTTCTCCTGAATCGGACCTGCATTGCTAAACGCGATACTACTTGAATGTATTCCAACACTGTGTAAATGGACGGAGTGTGAGATGCTTTGAGTTAGCACTGATGCTTGGTTAGGAGGCGAAGTGACATCATTCTGTTTGTGTAGTAATGGTGAAACAGCAAGATTATTCTGAGCAAATGCCTGCACTAAATCAGAGTGTCTAGATCTTTCTCTACTTTCATCAGACAGAGATAAAGAGTCATTTTTAGATCTAAATTTTGATCTAGGCTCCAAAAATCCATTGTAAATATGCGGCTCTAGCTTTGTTAGATCAATTTGTCCAGGTAAATTCAGCAGGGTTGCTAAATGACTTGTTTTTGAAGTTGGTGAGTTGGGTAAAGAGTTTGTTTTTTTCCCTTTAGCTTTAGAATTGCTCTTCTTAGGTCCGTGTCCAGAGCCATTTCGAATACGTTGCTTTGGTTTCGTCTTTGATTTGTTTGACAATGCTATTTGCTGCAGCAGTGCTCCTTGAGATGTGCTATTTAAATCCAGATGGGGGATGTTATCAACGGTCGGGGTCAACTTTATACTTGGTACAGGTGAGATGGAAGATTGCGACACTACTTCCATTTTGACTGATGTTTTAGGAGGATGTGACAGATGTCCTGGGTTTGGATGTTGTTTCAGTTGCGCCATCGAAAAAGATGGCTGCACTGGTGCTAAACTGCTTGGTACTGGTTGATCTAAACGAGGTACACTTGAATTAGCAGGTAAAGCAGGTACAATTGAATTAGCAGGTAACGCAGATGTAAGTGGGATGACTGGAGAGGATGAATTTCCAAATATACTGCTACGAACCTGAGCCCTCACCATTTCATCTATCTGTACTGGTGTATGGGCACTTGGTTCCTTCTTGAGTTTTGACAAAATTTCCAGTACATCTGGAGGCATCATTTTCAAGTTATTTTTGGTCTTTTCAGTTGCATTATCCATACAAATCTTCAACTTTAGGTTTTTCTTCTTCTTAAATTTATCCTTGTCTAGCTTTTTATCAACCTTGTCCACTTTTTTCTTTTCAGATGGCTTCTTGCTTGTCAATGATTTCTTATCAGTGGAGGACTTCTTGTCATCAGTTATCTTCTTCTCCAAAGGTTTTTTCTTTTCCAGGTGCGATATTGTAGTAGATATTGGTACACACAAATCATCATCATCAGAAAATCTATAAATAGCTTCTGCTTTACCAATGTCCACAGGTACTACTTTCTTCTGCTTATTTAAATTATTTTCATTCAGTTTTTTTTCTGTTAATAAAGCAATAAAAAATATTCACAGATATTAATTAAAATTATTTACATATTGTCACAAGATAAATAACTTAAATTAATAATATGAATAATTAACAAAATACTGAATTTATTATTTATCAGCAACAGGTGGGGTGAACTTACTCTTTGGAACAGTTGTTGCTGATTTTCTTTTCTTTGCTGCTGATGGTGGAAGCACAGGGACTGGTGGAGAATATTCCATTTTTTCTATAAATTTGAAAAAAAAAACCCAAATTTGCTAAATAATCTTGAAAATATATAATATATGAATGTATTATAAAGTATATAAAATTATATAGTTTATGTTTATTGAGTATATAAGTTTATATACCTGAAGTTTTTGGTGGCTGTAATGGATAATCTGTCAGCTCACACCAACCTACAGGGTACACATCCTGGCTGTGCATATCAACCCACTGATCATACGATGAGTCCCAGCCATCAAAATGAACTTGGATAAGCGGGCCCGCAATCTTAGTTATAGTGCCCACACAGATAAAGGAAGATTCAATCAAATCTACAGCTTCTACCTTGTGACCTGGCTTCCATCCAGGGTTTGTGACATCCTACAAAGAAAAACAGAATATTTATTGTAAGAGAGAGCAGCTTAGCTCAGCCAGCTAAACCAATTGAGACAACAACACCCTACAGGGTCCGGGGGAATGATTCGCAAAATTTTGGTTTCGTAGAGGCGTTTTGGGCGATCAATTATATATTTATTCATTGTATCTTTTTAAAATTTTAGAAAGGGAAGTGCTCCGGCCAACCTGAAAGTGACTGCCTGCTTCCAGGTTATCAAATAAAGTCACATTTGATTAAATTAGTAGAAGCATGCCCTCATCAATAGGCTAAGCATAATTTTCCACACCGCGACGTACAAGCAAATTGCGCGAGGGAAAAACAAAAAGACTATTGACCAGCTGGGGGCATGGTTGGAACTCTTGTTTGGCTTTTAGCCAATAAAATGCCTGCAATCTATGTAGTCAGTATATAACAAAGTTATTCTTAGCTTAAAAAAATATTCATACAAATAAACAATCGACATGTTAACAAAATAAACCAAACAGGTAGGAAATGACCAGGTGTACAAAAATGATTTTACCTGTTCAAAAAGCTCTACAGGGGCTGCAAGTGAATTGGTTCTTCTCAGGTAATCATCCCAATCAAAAATATCAGTATAACCTTCAAGGAACAATGTATAGAAAAAATAATGAAGTATGTGGCACTATTGTATATTTTAGTACAGAAAATCTGAAACACTTTAACTCATAACTTTGGCAATAGTAAGTGAATTCCCAGGGGTGAATCCAGAGATTTTCTGAGAGGTGGGGGGGGGGGCACCATTAGAAGTCCATGCCATGCCCACCTCAGCCCCACCGTGGTTGGTGTAAATAAGTGGTAAATAATCGAGCTCTCCTTTCGCCCACTGCTGATCGCCACTGAACTCATGGGTGCACTCCCTTTTTCGTCTTTCATCTCTATAACTCAATTTTTTCTCCCTATTTTTTATTTTTCAGCTTGACTGACGGGGATCTTATTTTTGGCGATTTCAAGGCAGTGGCGGGTGTAATAAAAATAAAGAAAAACTTTTGTGACAAGCAGCAGGTTCGCTAAACAAGGTATACAGAAATCTTGCCTAATGTGGACAGAGTATTGTATAAAATAGACAAAACAATTCCCTACCTATGGGTGGGACGAGCTCAATCTTATGGTAATCACAGAAACCAACAGGCAGTATTGATGATGAGCTACTGTGGTAGCAGAAAGGCTCGTTTCTTGGCTGGTCGGGCATCGTATCAATCTGCACCATCAGGTAGCCATCACCCAGAACGTACATGATTGTTGCTACGCAGATGTTCCCGAGTTTGAGTGGATCGACAGCTTCAAGTTTCATACCGTTGTGGAAAGTGTGGTTTTCTCCAACCAAAGGAAGCTAAAAATAACCAAAAACCATTAACATCAATAATTATAGATACTAAAAAATTACAAAAATAATACAAGATTTAATGTCATTGTGCACAACTCGGTTCACGTAAAATTTAGGTTTCAATGTTGTCATAAACAAGAGCGACCGCAGTGGAAAAAAGTAAAATTTTGTTTCTTTTCAGTAAACCATAACAATTTTTTTTTTTTTTCAGTAAACCATAACAACTTCCTGAGTAAACAAAATCTCCGATAAATTGCTATGCACACCACTAAGACAAGTTCAGCAAGAAGTAGGCTTATGGATATAGATGACGTGATGTCGTTTCAAGGATTTAACCTTCTGGAGAAAGTCAGTCCTGCGTCTTTCTAACCAATCAAAAGATTGTATTAGGTTGAAGTCATTTCGTATCCATAGGCAACATGCAATGGATAATATGGGTGTGAAAAAAATGCACGGTGGAACAAAATTTTCATGATGAGGGATGAAATGGAGAAAATAATGTCACGTGGTACGAAATCAACCAATCAAATGACTGAGATATATTTAGGTGTGTTATAAATGGGTATAAAACATACTACAAGTACAATTATAATTGTATAAGTACAAATGAATAAAGAGAATCTCAGAATGCAGCCTTACATCTTTAAATAAATGAGGTGGTGCGTCAATGAGAATCCTTCCTCTATCAAGGGCTTCTGTCTTGTAAGCTAAATGATACAAACAAAAATTCAGATAATTAATCAGCTTGACTCGTTTCTATGAACTATGGTGAACTTCATAAATGAGGATATAACATCAGTGACCTTCTTAAGAAACAAATTAGCCAACAGAGACAGCCAAATTAATGAATGTATTAAAAAGGCAATAATGATTAAGGCGTAGTAGCTAAATTAAAATTTTTGATGACAAAGACACAAGAGTTGACTTATAAAACAGGGCTGTAAACACAATAATAATGAATTAATTTATTTAATAAAATTCATTTATTTGAATGATACCCTACTCTTGCAATTCAATTAGTAACAGAAATCAGGGGTGTATCAAGAGATGTCCACAACAGGGGGCCGAAAGGAAGGGTCCAGGGGAATGCTTCGCAAAAGTTTTGTTTTCTAGACACCCGAAAATAACCTCCAATGCATTCTGGGGGATCAATTTTTTTCTTTTTCTTTTTTATTTTAAAATTTCCAATAGCATAAAGGAAAGGCACACTACTAATTCACTACCACAGTTGGCCCCCTAAAACACTGCACCCGAAACCAGTATTCACATAAAAGAACATAAAACATCAATAACAAATTTTTCACTTTGATTTTCAGTTATAAGCTAACAACATATTTAAACAAAAGTAAATTATTTTATTATTGAAATTGGAGTTGGAGGGGAACCCCATATCCAGTGACAGTAGTTTTTGTATCCCTTTTGCCTTGCCTCGGCCCTCCTCATTCTTTGTTTACTTGCAATTCAGTTTTGTTGTTTGTTTGTTGTATTTTACTGTGCTGAAAGGAATAAAATAAAAGAAAATATAATTAAAAAGAAAATTAAAAAAAATATCTAGCTTACCAGATGTGTCGATAAGTGGATGACCAACACTCCTGGACCAGCCAATTGGGTGGATTAATGGTGAAGAAGAATTAAACCAGAAGTCTCGATTGGGATCATCAATATTCTCGTATTGCACTTGTAGTCTGTTCGATACTATGGTTTTGATAGAGGCTGTACATGTGCTAGAGATAAGTCTTTTGTATACAGCCTCCAATCGCATATTCAACTCAAACGGACTTTTCAACTCTTCCTTAATCTGTGAAAAATAATAAATAAAATGTAAATAAGTATCCAGACTATAAGCTTTTTTTTCATATAGTAATATCTTTTATTTGCCCATATATGGGCATAGGCTTATTTACATAGATTCAATTATATATTATGAAAAATTTTAGAAGTCTTACTAGTTCTTTTGAAATCTGTATTGTGGGTGCACCCTGATGAGCTACTTTGTTTACAAATTCCAACCAGTTTGAGCCAATCTTCTCCATCAGGTCTAAAAAAAATAAGCAATTGAGAAGTGGGGGTGTATTTGGGAGTATTTAAAATGGACTCACAAAAGAAATCAGAAAAAGGTAAAACATGCAAACAAGAAAAATTAAAAATTAAACCAGATTACTAATGTCTCAATTAGAGAACATGTCATTTTTACCAATGCAATACCAAAGTTGGTCTCTCAAAACATTGCACATATCTTCTTTAAATGAGGATCCGCTCCGCAGAGTCAGCCACGGACAATTAGCAGACGCCGCCATGTTTTGAGAACTTATTTTTGAAAGATCATCAGAGGGCGGAAAAAAAATATAAATAAAATTTTGTGTTTTTATTTCGCAAATGGTTTTGCCAAAAACATCCAGAAAGAGGAGAAAATAATAATAAAATTTTATTGTTGAATGTAAACAGTGCAGTAATGGGATGGTTAAATGCTTTAAATTTACATAATAAGGAAGAAATATACATATCTTATTTTAGATTTCAATGTAGCGTAATAAAAATTAAGAACTTTTAAATTTTGTCTGAAATTTCAATTTTTCGTGGCGGCAGGTGTGCTAATTAATCAAAAATAAAATTTTAGTTTGATTTGAAATCATCATTATTGGCGGGCGGCGGGGTCGCTAAACCAGTTACAAAAACAGCCTCGCATTGGAACGACAGTTTTCTTTTTTAGCAAATGGTTTTGTCAAAACAATCAGATGGAGGAGAAAATAAAAATAAAATGTTATTGTTGAATGAGGGTATACTGTATTAATGAAGCCTACCTTTAGGAGGCTTGAGTTTCTTGCCAGCCTTCTCGGCTCCATTGATTGGGTAGCATTCAATTTTACAGAGATGAACCCAGAAGTCATGTGAACTGTCAATGCCATACCCTTCAAACCGAAGCAAAGCCTTATAACCTGTAATAATAATAAAAATAACAATTAAATAACAACAATTAAATAATAATAATAATGATATAATATTGATGATGATATTGATACTGGTGATGATAATTAACAATAATATTTTAAATGATGACAATAATACTTTAGTAATAATAATAATAATCATCATAATAATTAACAATAATAATGTAATAATAATAATAATATTCATAAGGATGATGATGATAATTCTAACAATGATATTATTTATGATGACAACAATAAATGATAATATAAAAATTATAATACAAAATAATAAGTAATTATTGTAAAATTTTGACAGCACTTTGGAAAATAGTAACCTGAATGAACTATTATAGTCTAGAAATTTTCTGAAGGTTTGGGCCTGAAATAAAGATAGCAGAGAAGGCTATAAGTAGCAAAAGTGAGATAGAAATGTAACTAAGCAATAACAAAATCACAGGATAAAAATTAATAATTTTATGCAAAGTTCAGCAGAATTGAATCTCTTACAATACCCTTGAGGACGAAAAGATAAAGTTCACAAAGAATAAGAGTACGATGATGATGACTGTAGTTACGGCAACAATAATTAGCATGATGATGGATGTATCATTCATACAGGGAATAAAAATCTATGTATTCAATAAGGTAATTAGGTCACAATAAGGAAACCTACTAGAATCACAGCATGGACAATCCTAGCAATGAAAAAATAGTCTAACAATTGGTATTTATGATTATGAAAAAATATAATCTATGAATGATGATAATAACAACAATAATAAAAATATTAATATTACTAACATAATGATAATAATAATAATCACATAATGATATAAGATGCAATTATTGTAAAATTTTGAGGGCACTAATAAGAAAATAGTAAACTGAAGGATACATTATAGCCTAGAAATTGTATGAATTCACAGATGAAAACAAATCTATGTATTCAATAAGATAATAAAGTCACAATTAAGGAACCTACCAGCAACACGGACAATCCTGGCAATCCAGAAATAATCTTTATCATCACCTCCATCGCGATTGTTGACCTCAATGAGGGCACTCAGCATGGAGGACTTCCATTCCTTGAACATTGGTGCCTACACAGAATTTTGTGAGAAAGGAATTTGTTGTTATAGTGATTACAATAAAATACTCTAACTAATATATATATAGAGCCACCTGTCTATAAACAATCAACAACCTTAAGTCCTTTGTTCACCATATGTTCTCTCTTCTTTTTTTAATTGTAAATATAGTTATTATTTTTAAGTAAGTAATTTTCACTTCTTATTGTAAGACCAGTTTTTAAAACTATGTTTCAACATAGTTATGCTTGTTCCTCTTAAGAACATTTATTTCAAGTTGAAATATTGAGTCACTCAGATAATTAAATATAATTAATAATAATAATAATAATAATAATAATAATAATAATAATAATAATAATAATAATAATAGATGGATTTATATAGCGCAGTTAAATGAGGTCTCTCTGCGCTCGACACTTGTTAACCACTGAAAAGTCAAAAAAAGCCAAGCTAGCACCCAAACCAAAGTATGGCGTTCCACTGTTTAACAAAGTACATTCTTACATGATGAAAGCACTTGATGGGGGCAGCCTCAACTCCTTCAGATTCAAGATAATTAGTCCAACTGAATGTGTGTAACCCATTCTGGTTTACCACCGGTACAACTTTAGTCTCGCATTCATGGGCCGGAAACAGTGGTTTGGGTCGGTGCTGAGGAAACAGTGTTGGCACCTAAGGCAAAAAGAAATCAAATTTTAACCAAATTGTAACGTTCACGTTATTGTCCTCATTTACCTGGGCACTATGATTTCTGTATCAAATAATTCTTGTTTGTTTAATAATTCCCAGTGTCATAGATATTTTGGACACTATTAAATTAGACTTCCCAGGCACAAATCCACGGTAAATTCACTCTGAGGGCAAGGATTTCACTCCTCCGTTTCAGAAATTCGGCCGAGAGAGTGCTGAAATCATCATGCACACATCGTAGAAAAGGATACACATTTGCCCCCCCTACAGACAATCATGTACTCAAAGATGGTGATCAAAATGTGAGGTACGTTTGAGAGCACATGTTGCTTTCGTAACATGAATTAAAACTTAATTATCAAACAAAAAATAAACTATTACTTAGTAATTTTCATGAGAATCAACCAACAAAACAGACTCCACTAAATTATTTTAACATTCTAAATTAATTTATACCTGAAGATTTTTAGCATATGGTGAATGCTCTGGTGATTTCTCCTGCAGTTCGCCTTTCTCCTTTTTACAGACTGCAAACTTCTTTGTGCAAGACACGCTACAGAATGGGTAGCGCCTACAATATGATATGAAATGCACGCTACGCCACATATTACAATAGGCACATGGACCTAAAAGAACAACAAAATGTATCAATTGATTAAATAATGGACTTTTCACACTTATATAATCAATAAGTCAATCAATCAATCAATTATTGTTGGCAGTTAATTATTCAGTAAATTCTACAATGAGAATTAAGTCAATTTATTTCATTTTTAAAATTTTATTTTAAAAATGAAATAAATTTCATTTATAATAATTGCATTTTTAAAAACAGAAGTACTGTAATGTCATTAGATTTATGCACTTTATACTGAAATGGTCTCAAATGGCTTGAGGTGTTGACTAGCTCTTGCAGTAACTATAATTAAAATTATGATCTATAACTGAAATTAAAGTAGAGAGATATGCTCTCGTTTGATGTCCTAGCTTCATAAAAATTAAAAATATATGAAAATCATTTAATAAAAAACATGATAAAAAAATGATAAAGCAATATACTAACCGATTTCTTTCCCCTTTATTTCGTAGAATGGCATTCCTTCGAAGAGAGCATCATCATCGGGTGTGTTGGTAAGATGGTGTTGTCCGTTTGGTACTTTAGTGTCTTCTCCTTTATCCTCTTGCTCTGAGTTCAGCAAGTAGAGACTGTACAACCGGCCTGATTTCATGAGTTTATCATCGCTGAAGTCGTGACCCTAAAAAGAAATTGAGCACAATTAACACAAAGGCATGCCTGATTGATGTAACCTTGCTGTTAGAATGGGGTTGTCAGATATATCACTGATAATTAACAATGTACAAACAGGCCTGCATTGTTCACTTTTATGAGAAATTAAGTCTTTTTTTGGATTTATTTAACTTCACCTAACTAACACACTGAGATTTCAATGTTTTGAAATCCTTTGTCTACTTTCTAGCTGATAAAATTATTTTATCAGTCAAAAAATAAAACAAAATTCAAAAATAATGTTTTTAAAATTATTTAAAAAAACCATAAAAATATTACAAAACATTAAAGTTTGCAGTCATAAAAATATGAAAAAATAATTTGAGGTGGCTACAAGAAAAAATCTTAGAAAATCTTTTGTAAAAAATTTGAAAATTAACATTAAAAAAAAAATAATAAAAAAATACTGAACATCATTGTGACACAATTCGAAAGTAAGGTTATTTTTCAAAGAACGATGAAAGACAAGACATGTGACAATAAAATAACATGCGGCATTATTAACAGTCAGTTATCAACATTTTATAAAGAGAATTACAGGCCTCAATAAATACTCACAGGTCATCTATAAGTGTGCAATTTTATGTGATAAATTTATAACATATTCATCCTGTAACACTGAAGCTTTGCGCACTCTGATTTTATGACAAATTTGTGTGAACTGCCCATATATGGGCATGATGATGTCATATCACATCCAAATATGGTCATAATGATGTCATACTCAACTGTATCACATCCAAATATAGGGATGATGATGTCATATCACGTCTTAATATGTATATGATGATGTCACATCACATCAACAGTATATATGGGCATAAGCCCCAGAGAATGTAGTTCTCTCTCTGTACAACCTGCAGAGACCTGAATACCATTTACTGATAAAGCACAGACTGTTGGAGGCATAGGCTTAGCCAGCGAGCCGTCTGGCCGTCTTTTGGATGGCCTACAATTATTTAGGACGGCCACTTTTACCAAGACACTGTAGACTAACTCGGCCTGGTCTACCTTTAGCAAATTCTTTATATTCTTCAAATCTATCGAATGTTACATTAAACTAAAGCTAAATCATATTTACGTTTGATAAAAGCAACATTATTGATTGAATATACGTTGTTTTCGTACCAATATACGGTGGGGATTCCCAAAGATGGGCGTGACCCACCCATCGGCTCAGTGACACGCCCACTGGCTTCCATTTTGGACGGCCTATTTCTGGCTAAACCCTTGGTTGGAGGGATCACAAAAACTGTGTGTGCACCAGGACATCTGTATTGTGTATGTAGACTTTGAGAAGTATCTAGAGAATTTCATGATGTTCTACTATCACCAACTACTTTACAGTTACTATAGACTTCCTTAATATAGGCTACTGATAAATCAATCAATTCTACATTTACTGGTACAGGACACTGGTAAATATTTTTAAGGACAACTAAAATTTGGGAAAACATTTTTAGCTTAACATTTACAAACATACAGCATAAACATTTATAAACCAGTACATAACTTTTCTTGTATATTTACTGTAGTTTTGCGCTGGCATAAACCAAAAAGGAACTTACCGAGTCAGTATCCATAAGACTTTGGTAGGAAGGCAGGACACTTGCTGGTTCTTGGCTCAGAAGGGGGTCTGCGCCTCCTTTCATGCCGTCCCGCTCCAAAATAACATCATCTGAGCCCCACTCTGTAAAAAACACATTAACAAAATGTACAACAATATACTGTAGCTCTGTCCACACTATAAAAAAAAAAAGTTAAATGCCCATATTTGGGTGTAACATAACATATTCATGCCTATATACAGTATGGGCACATCACACTAGAATTTTTCACATAAAATTTGTCCGTGTGGACAGAGTTGAATATTCCAGCTTCTGGAATCATACTGTAAAGCACTGTCCACACTATCAAATTTTTTTTGACGGAAAACTTTTCTATGCCCATATATAGTCATGATGTGCCTATATATGGTCATGATGTGATGTCATCATGACCATATTTAGGCATGTCACATGATTTTGTCAAGTAAAATTTGATAGTCTGGACAGGGCCTTATAAAAAAGATATCAAAGACAGCAAAAAAAGAAATAAAAAAAAAATGAAGAAACTGTTTCTTTTTTCTTTTTTTTTTGGGGGGGGGGGAGGGCCCATGGCCCCCACTTGTCTGAAGGTATATTTTAGATCAGCAGTATATTATATAAAAGTATGAAGCCAATCAAAAATTAAGAGAAAATGTATCCTACCTGAATCTATTAGATCAGTTTCCTGTGGAGAGAAATAGACCAAAATTTATGAAAATCACATCAATATAGTAAACAAATGTAGCAAAGACAAGCCAAACCAGTCACTCACTCGTTGCAAACATCAATTTTAATTTGTTAATACACTGGAATGGTTAAACAGTAAAATGAGAGCTATAACATGGTAAAAAAATCATTAAAATCTAACATTTTGTTATAAAGTTACAGGAGTTTAGACATACAGCTGTTTAAAGAACAATATTTGAGAGCCTTTGAAGTTTATGATTTTGGGCATTTCTCAGGCAGAAACCATTACCAAATTGTTAAAAATTGTTGTTTTAACATTGAAAATGAGGAAAATAACAGCATAGCAAGTATAAATGTTAGTTTGAGTGCAAGTTAAGGTTGAGGATAAAGGTCGCTGACTTAAATGCAGGACCTTTGAGTTGTTGTCTATTTTTGGTGTGAATCACACCAATAACATCACCGGTGATGGTGTGGTGTTTCTTTTCTTGTAGCTTTAGGTTCATGGTAATTTTTTGTTCCTTCCTGTAGTGCCTTGAGCACTACTGCAGTGGATTTGTGCGCTTTATAAATCTTATTATTATTATTATTACAACATCACTGAGACACAATTTAAAATAAAAGGTCATATCATGGAACGATGAATGACAAGACATGTTACAATTAAATTACATGTGGTATTATTAACCACAGTCTATCAACATTTTGTAAAGAGCATTAACAGTCACAGGCTCAATAAATACTCACAGGTCATCTGTTATAAGTGTACAATTGTATGTAACTTTTTGTAAATTTACAACATATTCATTCTTTAGGACTGAAGCACTGTTCATTCTATCTGTTTCTTTAAGAACCCAGTACATCTTATAAGATAAATAAGGGTTATCCCGGTGTACAGGTCCATACAGCCCTGTTACCTTGCAGTTATGGACCATTGTAATGCAAGTCCAGAATGCAAGGACCCACACGTATTATCACAAAGATGAAGTACAGTGTAGTACAGTAGTAGTTATATATTGTGTCAGGCCAAATTTTCTGGAAAATTTGTTGCGAAAAAATCAATCATTATTTTCAAAATATCTTTTGGGCAAAGTTTTTACACCTGGAAATATTTCTCCATCCCTATTTTTCTTTCTGAACAGACTGAATTAAACTGTTAAACATTAAATTAAAAAGTGTAAGAAAATCAAGCACATATTATTTTGCATTGTGCATAATTATTATTATTTCAATGATTTTACACAAATCTCAGGTGGTGATTGGTGGTACTTGCTTGCAACGCTGGATTGCTATCTTTATTTAATGCACTACAGCCTGACTGTAAAGTAAGGCCTGTGTGGGGAATATCCTGTGTGCAAAAATTTGGCCTAGAAAATCTGTAAGCGCATTTCGGAAAATACAGTAAGTGCCAAATTCAGCACAGATTGTGCCGAAAATTAGCAAGGCTGTAAAAAGGTGGTGGTCCTGGGTTCGGGACTTGAGTATTTTAGGGGTAGGCTAGCAAAAACATACATTAAAACCAATGTTCAATATCTGTTATACTTTAGCAAACTAGACCTTGGTCCAGCAAAAAAAAAAAAATTTTTACAGAGCTTTGATTGGCTTTGACATAATCTTAATGTACAGTATTTAAACAATATAACTTATGCAGTAATAACGATTTTGATTTGATTTAATTTATTTAATATGCTCTTTTAAAAATACAACAGAAACAAATACACTTGAACAGATCAAATCACAAAAGAACAAATCGGGGATAACCCTAAACTTGAGAGAAAAGACAATTATTTCCATAGGGGTCCCCTACATGAAGTAATGTGAAATGAACAATTATAAAAAAAACTCTGCAGATTAAAAGACGAAAAAACAACAAAATAAGCTACAGTATATATATATATAAAAAAACCCAGATTCAGTCCTTAATTAACCTTATACATATACATTACATATAAATATAATACAGACACGCACTTAAAAATAAAAGTATTATCATAAATTTTATCCTGAACACTTATTTTCCTAGTGATTTGAGCTAGTTTTTGAGTATCAAAAGTATGGAACTACACAGCATATCGAAACAATATCCATTTCCCATTATATTTTTATTTTTAAACAAATAATTGTTCTTCAGAATTAAAATTAACTTACTGTAACTATGAAGACCCCTATATAGTTGCTAATTTATCAATATGGTCTTGTAGCCACTGGGCGTAACCTAGCTGGGCTAGTCAGTAAGAAGTAAGCCACAGGCCTGTACACGTCTTGTCTGACAGACTTTAGGCCTAGAGGAGGCCCTTAGCTAGCTAAGCCTAGGCTAGCTGCTGTAGCTAGCTCACTCACTAAGCAGGACCGGTTATTTTTGCGGTAGACTCAGTGAAATAGCGAGACTAAATAATCACACAATGACTAATTTAAACATTGATGTAGGTAAGGCCTCAGACATCTCACTTTCTGACGAATAACAGTATTATCAAGGGAGAAATAACGGATCATTTTTAGGCCTTGCCAGCTAGCTAAGAAGCCTACTTATTTACAAGGCAAAGATACTGACAGTGATGATGAGTGGCCTGGTTGAAACTTTCTTCTTCAGAAAGAAAAACACTATCATTTTAGACGACATACTTACCATTTAGAATCCTTAATCGCACGATAATTTTAAGTGATTAAACTCATCTATTATCATACGCATTCTCAAAAGGCAGATTAACAATTTCTTAATTTCATTTTACGAAAATTCACATTTTGTAACGAATAGCTTCATGTCGTAAGCACTCGCGCAAACGAACATAAATATCAACACCGCACGAAAAAGCTTAGTACGCATGCGCTGGCTTATCACATACCAAACGCCGTGAAAGAAGAGTTAGCATTGGCTAGAACTGTTGACAATTAACTTTCGAAAGAAAAAAAAAATGCTAAAAATATCAAATACTCTAACAAACTAACAAATATGGAATACTATACATATTATAATTTTATTATGCCAAATTTTCTTTAACATAATCCTTGATAATGTCATTTATTACTAAAAAAATATTACCCAATCATCGATGAGTTTATGGAAGGTAAAATAGATACGACGAAGTTTTGGTGCGACGAAAACAAGTTGACGGCGGCGCGACTGACGACGGAAGTGAGGGAAGAAGAGGTGAGGAGAAAAATAATGTTATAACCTTAGCTAGGAAGTCATTCCATGAACTCAAAAGACATAATCATTTTTAAAAAAGGCCTAGCCTAAAAGATGTCATATATTATTTACATCAAAGACGTCATTACGACTGAGCTGCCTGGTCTCTCAAGCCTTGGGCCTACTACTACAACTAGGCTTAGGCCTAATCTAGCCTTGGCCCCACCAGCCCAGATAGGCCAGGCTAGGCCTAGCCTAGCTAGTACAGACAGTCACAGTAGCTAGCCACAGTATAAAGATAGGCCTCGACTTCTCACTCAGACCAGAGTCCCATCAAGACGGATTTTTACATTTCCGTGATTAAAATAGTGCATTTTTTATTTTAAATTTTATAGGATTGTCTTTTGGCTCTCTGTGTATTTTATTGCAGCTACAATCATGTAAGTATTTTATATAGGCTTTAGCTTTCTAGGGCTAGGCCTAGGAAAGGAGGCCTAGCTAGGCCTCCTACTACTAGACCCTAGGCCATGTGTATTTAATATATTTTTGTCCTTTTTTTTAGTGACTTGCAATTGAAAGTAACCAGTAAGTAGACTGGTTGATGCCACTGTTTGTACTTCATACTATAATATAAGGTTTTTTAATTTTGTGTAGGATATCTAAAAAATCAGCTTAAATTTGCGTGGGAATCGCTAGGAAAGTAGGTACACAGAATCGTAATTGCTGCATAATTGCATTGGTTATATTAAGATTTGGTCAAAGCTTAATTTTCAACAAAAATCTGCACGAAATTGGCCCGTATTTTCAGAAATTCGCAGACGGATTTCTAGGCCAAATTTTTGCACAGAGGATATATTTTGGTTTGTAGTGAACCATAGAAATATCCTTATACACTAGTTTAATACAATAACAAAAACAGTGGGAACAGAATTACAACCCTCAAATTTTCAGAAATGCGCAGACGGATTTCTAGGCCAAATTTTTGCATGCAGGATATATTTTGGTTTGTAGTGAACCATAGAGATATCCTTATACACTAGTTTAATACAATAACAAAAACAATGGGTACAGAATCATAACCCTCAATTTTTATGAACAACAATTTTGAAGGCTTCCATATTTTGTAATGAATTGAAGGTCAATGTGCACTTTAAACAACTAGCGTGTGCTTACTTATATTAAGCCCTGCCCAGACAAAAAACTGTTGTATGCCCATATATAGTCATGATGTGCCTATATATGGTCATGATGTGATGTCATCATGACCATATTTAGGCATGTCACATGTTTTGTCAAGTAAAATTTGATAGCTCGACAGGGCTTTAGAAATTAGATACTGTTACCGACGCTGACATTTGTCTTGTCTAATTTTATCTAGGGCAACCTTTTGGAAATCGCAACCAAAGAAATTCTGTGACTTTTGCAAATGCTGGATAGCAGACAATAAAGCAGTAAGATTTGCTATATTATTATCTTCATTATTATTATTATTATTATTATTATTATTATTATTATTATTATTATTATTATTATTATTATTATTATATTAGTTAATTTATTTTTAATATTGTTTTTATTCTAAAAAAAATTGAGGACCCCTTCTGAAACAAGCATTCCAGCATAAAGTTCTGTCATCTGCTATGTCATTTTTGTTTATTTTGTAAATGTCAATTATAATATTTAAGATATATGCTTGTCTCGCTTATAAATGTGCTGTTGTTTTATGACGTAGCAATAAATACTACAAACAAACAAGCAGTAAGATGCTCACCACCTTTTTACTTTAAAATTGTTAGAGTGTAGATTTCCACGAAAGAGGGAAGAAACACAAAGAAAATGTTGAAAAAAGGATTGACGAACTCAGGAAAAAAGGCTTACAGCGATACAAGGAGGAAGAATCAGCCAAAAGTTCTTTGGCTGCAATTGAGGCGGTATGTTTGGTGCAATTATACATCATGTAAAGAATACTTCTCTTGACTAAAGAAATACAGCTCCACACCAACTCTATATTTCAGTGCATGTTCTCTGATGCTGTTGTCTGCCCCTCTTTTTTTAGGCTGCTCTGAAAGCATTTGAGAAAGATGTTAAAAATGATCCTTCCCTAGCCAGTCAGTATGGTATTGAAGTTGCTGCCCAGTTTAAGCAAAAACAGTTACAAGGTTTGTATATGTTATTGTTACGCTATTCGTAGAATGCCAAAATAATATTTTGATATCTTTAGGTCGTTTGAATCATCGTGTAAAAACAAGTTCCTATTTTAAATCCTGACAAAACAAAAGAATTTTTTTATTTTGAAGAAAATTTGTAACTGGTGATATTATGATATATGACAAAGCAATAGAAACCATTAAAAAACATAAATACTTAGGGATGGCTTTAGATAATAAGTTAAATTGGAATGCTAATACTGTAAATTATTGTGAAAAAAATCAAGCCAACATATGTACCTTCCGAAGAAGGTACACACCAACATCTGTACCTTCTTCAGAAACTGAATTCCTTCAAAGTAAGTAATGAAGTGCTTTTCAACTGATATTATTAGCTGCTTATTAATTCCTATTACTATATTAGCTTAATGGAAATTATCATAACAGAATGAACATAGAACAATGACCTGTAAATATGGTATGATTACTTTGATGATTGAAGTGGTTATGAGTAGTTCTAAATTCTTGAACCCTTTAGGCTTGAATGGCAATTTTCAGATTACTCATTCTTCATAAAATATTTCCCACGCTTATTTCTCATAATATCTAACCCAGGCACAGGTTCTCTAGATGCTTGATAATGCGTAGACATACTGTAGAGGCCTTGGCTAAATGCACATGACAGAATTATTATTGTTGTTGTGGTGTTAATATTTATTGTCATTATTATTGTGTTATTTTTATCAATATCATTATTATTTTTACAGTATTGTTGTAGAACTGTTTTGATCATTAATAAACCAGACACAATACAGTAATACTGTGTTATTATTATTATTATTATTATTAATATTATTATTATTATTATTATTATTATTATTATTATTATTATTATCTTATCTTATCTTATTATTATTATTATTATTATTATTATTATTATTAATAATATTATTAATATTGAATCAGCTGCAGCATTGAAGAACAGACCAGAAAATGGACATTAGTAATTATACACTGACAAATTAAAGAAAAATTAATTATTAATAAGAGTAAATTAAATTAAAGTAATTAAGTACATCATTTAAAATCCAATTTACCTCATAAGATCAAGCTAAAAAGGATGAAAAAGAAGAGCAGAAAAAAGTTAAAGAGAAAGAAAAAGCAGAAAGAATTGATAACGAAAAAGAGGAAGTCGGAACATGGATGGAAGCAACGAGTGAAGAAGGGTACACATATTACTGGAATACAGTAACTATGAGTAAGTCAATTATTGTTCATTAGTTTAATAATAAAATAAATAATCTATCTTGGTGCTTAGATTTATTTTATTTAAATACCAATAATTATATAACAAGCAATTATTTAGCATTTATTTACTTAGTTTTTAGTCTGTCTAGTAGTTAAGAATTGTGAGTTGTTAGGCACATAAGGATAACATTTGTATATGTAAATCCAGGCTTAATACTAATCATATATACATTATATATACATTATAAATTATTCATCATACAATTATCATACTTGTGTTTTCGGCCATTGGTATAACAAGCATGGTTGAAAAGACGTATAATATTGTAATAGTATACAATTACTCTGAGAATTTTGGTTTACTCTTTTAGTTGTACTTAGGTTTAGTTACAGCCTTTCAAACCATTTGCCATGGTTCCATTATTAAACATATTAATTTTTTTTCTGCATATAAATATTCTATTGTCTTTTTTTCTTGTGTTAAGATACTACTTGGGAAACCCCGGCAAATTATGTTCGTAAGGAAGACCAGGATGTTGAAGAGGAATCAACGGTCAGTTTAAAAATTATTTATCAGAGCAGTTTGGAGTTTTCGGCTTTTATATTTCTTTTAGGTTATTTTTTACCATAATTCAATTTACATATAATTGTTGATTATAATAATAATATTGAAAAATTATAAAGCACCGGTATCTGTTTTAAAGAAAACGTTCATGGCGTCCTTCCAGAAAGTTCAAAAAGGAAAAAAAAAATTATTGAAACCAGAAACAGTTTGAAATGTTCCCTTATTGTCTGAATGTTGCTGAATAATATACTGTTATATTATTACATTTTAATAATGATATAATTATTGTCACATTGATATATTTTATTTCTAATTAGGATAATAATATAGTGATAATGATACTGGTGAAAATTACAGTAATAAGAACAATATAATAATAATCACATTGTAATTTTACTACCCTAAAATAATAGTTCAGTTTGGGTTTTGTTAGTCACTCTTATATCACGAAAATCATTCCTGCAATTCCAGTATTTTAAGAGGTTTTTATGTTTATTTAACTTTAAGATGTTTATTTAATCCACTGTATTGCATTTTTAATTGAAAACTTCTCACAATTCAGTTTTTGCTGCTAGTTGATGTGAATAAAAAAAATCCTGAAATCTGAATCTGAATTTATATATCTGTGTATTAAAAACAAGTAGATAAATGGTAGAATCATCTCTCAAATATTGGACAAAATGATGTTATAATCGTATCAAGCATAGCCTTCAACAAAAAGGACGTTATCAGTTGTATGGAAAGTGCGTCCAGCCGATATTGAACGTGTAAACTCTTACTATCAAAGCGACTTCCAATATCACTAGACTACGAAAGCCTGGTATATCACAGATTCAGTCCAGCCAGATGATCCTCTCATACAACTGATGTATCTGTGTTGTGGTTAATATGTATAACATTGAATCAAACAATATATAGTTATTATGATGTCATTAAATATTAATTCATGTGTGTTGAACTATTGAAATCCAGAGCTCTACAGGGGTGGATTTTGGGAGGTAAAAAAAAGAAAAAAAAAAAAGAGAGACGAAGAAAAAAATGATAGCCCAGAATGCCTCAAATGTTATGTTTGGGCGTCTAGAACCCAAAAATTCGCGGGGGCATGCCCCGGACCCCCACGACAGTGTTGTCTCAATCGGCCCAACTTTCGGCACCCCTCCCCCCTTCCGGTCCCCCCTTTTTGGATATTTCTGGATCCGCCTCTGCTCTATGTCATTGATTGGCTGCCATGATTGACATGGAACAAATTACTTAGTACTTGTTTTCCCACCTAAGGCATTAAGACGTGCCATTAACATACTTAACCTCTCCTCTCCTTAATATTTCCTTTGTTTAAAGTCTTCATTGAATATAGGTTCGCAATGCTTGTCTTTTCTATTTATGAACCTTTCCATGCAATATATTCTGAAATGAAAAAATAATGTGTAGTCTCCTTTGCATTGGGTAATGGATAGCATGTATTGCATATTCTAATTTTATCATAATAGGAGATGATGTTTTATTGTCTACTGATTAGCCCTGTGTGAGAAAAGTATTATGTAGTAAACTGCCCTCCAGCTCCAGAAGTAATGAAATATTAAAAATTGTTGTATTTGTTAAAATTTTTCAAGTGCTTTAATTTGATGTACTATGCATGAGTGTATGTACTCCACTATAAATGTTTCATTATTGTCTGAGTGATGCTCAAAAATATATTTTTATATATTATTACAATATTATTGTATTATTGATAAATTTTATTCCTGATTAGGATACAACAAAGAATGAAAATGATGGCGACGATTTGAACAAAGGAGAAAAAAGAAAAGCAGCTGGTGATGCATATGGACAGTGGCAGACAGTTGAAGTCAGGTAAATGATTATTTAAGCGACATTGGGGGATTCTGGGGTCATGGGGCTAGAGCCCCTTCCCCTTTACCAGAAAATAGAGAAGTTGAGAAAAGAAAGAAGGAAGAAGGGAGAGAGAAAAGGAAATGTTATTGAAAGTGCTGCATGATTCCTAAACAAAATAAGTATTGATTTTATTGATTAACTATACCACTCTCCCTTGGGGGTGGGGGGTGTCAGTGCTTTGCACAGCACATAGACCCTACCCAGCTGTTGCAATGGATCCACACACCCCACACTGGTGTACATTATAATTGAAAGTTAAAAAGACAATGGCTAGTTAGTGCATCAATAGGGGAGGGCCGAGTTAAAAATTGTCTAATGCTCCTCTTGCTTGCGTTTTTCTTGTATGACACTTTGCTCTAACTTTCTCATCTTCTAAGCTGAATTTTCCTGCTGATTTTCATTGACATTCTTCACCTTCAGAAATGAAGACCCAGTCGACCTGCAGCTGCCTGAGAGTGCCAACTATACCACAAGCATGTACAGACCAAAGGCTGCAGAAAATCAAGCCAGAGAAAAACTACAATTTAAAGAAAAGACTGTGAAATCTTTAGAGCCTACTGATAGTGAGGCCGCTGTAAATATCGGCTTCAAAAAACGCAAATTCAATGCCGGTTCCCGTAAAATTCGACAACGAGATGAGAGTTGATGGGTGAAGAAAATATTCAAAAATAAAAAAAAAAATTATTTATGGTTTATGGTCAATACTCTACCTGTGGTTACCATTCTAGTTTTGTATGCCCTACTGTACACAAAAAAATTAACTCTAATTATGTTTTCAATATCAATATTATTATTTATTATATTGATAAAGATATATCATTTTATCTATTTCAGTTTTTCATTCAATTATATTATGTAGGTCTGTCTTGTTAGATTAATTGTTAACAGTACAGTACACGTTTGTCACGCAATAGACAAAAGGGCCTTCTCAAGAAAAGCGTCACCTATTTGTCACGATTGTTTTAAATCTTATTTAAGGCTTTGCAGACATTTGTATCTAATGGTGTGTTTAATAGGTGGGGGGGATTTGTAAACTGTAGCATCAGATATTCTCAGTGTGAGGTGGGGCACCACCTAGGTACGTCATTGTTTGTATCTGATAAACTACATTGTTATTGTGATGGTAAACTTATCAGTAATTAACATTGCCTGTTATAATTATACCTAGATATATAACAGTTCCATGTGCTAATCTCATAGAAATGAAAGTGGCACTGCAGCGCCCTCAAATGGTCAATAATGCAATCATAACACTAAAGCTCTGTCCACACTATTAAATTTTATGTAACAAATTAATGTGATGTGCCCTTATATGGGCATGATGATGAACACCTAAATATGGCCATATAGTGTTTACAAGGCTTTAGAGAGACAATAAATAAAATGTATTCCATCTCACTTGTAATATTATTTTAAAACTTTTTTGTTTGCTTATTTTGTTTTACCCAGTTTACACACACTAGTTCAGTTGGCCTTTAAGCCAGTCTCATCTCTGTGATATTTGACCTTTTTTTAAACCATATTTATAGAGGGTGACCCTTCCAGCGTGTCCTAAAAGGTCGGCTGATACTCAGGGCCTTCTTTAAAATACATGAAATAATGTGATGCTTTATGGTCCAAGTCTCATAATTAGGCTTAGGGAGTGGAGATGTGTTTTAGTCACATGATTTGAACCCAGGACCATGGAGTTGGAAGGCAAGCATCTTAATCATCAAGCTACATCGTCACTACTCTTGTGGTAATAATCAGCTGGAAACAAACTCCTGATTAACCAAAATGCAAGTGTAAAGAATTATTTATGAAGGATATTAAAGCTAAATTGGAATGGACTGTTCTGCAGAGACCTGTCCTAGGATATTGTTGCTTAGGCCCCTCATAAACAACAGTGTAAACGCACATAAAAATGGGTTTTTGTGCATATTCCTGGTTAGTTTTTAAGAAACTAAGCGAATATTTACAATATATTTCGGGAAACTACAAAATTATGTTTCCTGGAAGAGGGAAGTTGATGCTAAATCGCCTCAAATAACTTTTAAACTATGAAGTACAGTATATACTGAATTTTATTTCAAAGTTAATCCTTTGCAAGGGAAGTTTTTCTTATGTAAATTTTGAAATACTGTAACATACGAAGTTAAATAAAAAAAAAAGTCATTTAAAGGCCAAAATGTTGGTGATGTTTTTATTTTCTCTCTGGCTGTTTACCTTGCTTTTCCATTTAGATTTTGCTTACCTATGTTGGGTCTTAACAAACATTCAGACATCGTTTCGTACAACATTGTTGTTTTTCAGTGTACAGTTTTCAGTGTATATATATATATATATATATATATATATATATATATATAATGGAGATAAACTATAAAACGTCTTGTGGTAATTCTATAAATATATATATATATAAATAAATGTTGAATGTTAAAGAATCTGTAGCCATCCAAGCTTTGTTGAGAATTCAAAATCTGATTAAAGCATCTATTTATTCATACTCATACACATGCGTAGTTGGACAGCACTAGTCTTCAATGCATTGCAATTAACAGAGATCAATAAGATACGCCCTCTTATAAGCATTTGGAAAGACGAGATCTATACATATAAATGTATATACAACTTGTAATATATACATATATATATATATATATATATATATATATATATATATATACATACATACATTACAAGTGTATAATACATTTATACGTCAAATTTGAATTGTGTTTAAAAGTGTTTTTTTTTTTTTTAGCAGTGTTGTTATTATG